ATACCGGAAAAATATATATTTTTGGTGGTCGTACTGGAACATACTTTGGTTCTACAACGAGCATGTCTTTCAATGATATGGTTATTTTAGATACAGTTAAATCATCTTGGGTAATTAATACAATTAATCCACCAAACCCAAGACATCTTTATACCGCTACTTTATTGACAAATGGAGTTATTGTATATATTGGTGGTTCAGAAATGATTGAAAACGCTTCACAAACAATTGACATTAAACAAATTAATCTTTTTGATACAAAGACCTTAACTTGGTCAGTGAAAGTATGTATCAAAGTTATCATAATTAATAAACAGAGTTTAAAACTTAAATAATTTAACGTATTTATAGATAGCGAAATCTTCAAATATAATTCAAAATCGTTATAGTCATACGGCAGTTTTAGGTATATAATTATGATTTGAGATTAATATCATATTTAATATACTTACTTATCTGGTTATTTTATTAAATAGCTCCGGATGATACAATCATTATATATGGTGGTGAATTTAGAAATAGGAAAGTTGCTCCGGATTTTTTTTTTTTAAAGATGGAATCAGAACAATTTGAGATGATTGCTCCGCAAGTTAATTCAAATGTTGGTCAGGTTCCATCACTTACAATTCATACAGCTGATCTGGTTGGAAATTATATGATTGTAGCTTTTGGTAAGTTTATAATTTATTAAAATATTTCATAAACTTTTTAATTTATTTTAATGTATTTTAATAGGAAATATTACACAATCGAATTCTAGTCCATTGTTAATTGAGAATCAAAATATTTATATAATGGATGTTAGAAATTATACCTGGGTTAATTCATTTGACATAACAAGTATAAATGTAACGACTAATTCGACTAATACCGGCCCATCAACGCCACAATCATCGCAAACTAATGGTGTATCGGTTACAATAATAATCGCATCAATTGGAGGAACACTGGGCGCAGTTATAATTATGGCATGTGGATTTTTATTTTATAGATGGAATAAAAATAGAATCGGACAATATCCAGAAGAACATAAATTACCTGGAAGTATTGCTGAAATTAATCATAGTAGTTATGTAGCATAATATACAGGGTGGTATAAAAAGTATTGGCCACCCAACGTGATACAAGTGAGGCGCGTGTTGTCGCGCCCCTTCCAAATTAAGCCGCAGTTTTTTTATTTTAAGTTACACGTGATTGTTATGTAAATGATCAAAATAAAAAAATCGCCATTGTATAACATAAAGTTAGTCATATGGTCATACGAAAAAAACTTTTTTTATTAGTGAAAAAAAATTTACCGCAAGGATATGTCATGGAAAGGAACTTAGTGAGGGCCAAAAAGGAGCTATTATCGCAGCTAAAAAATTAGGACACACAAATACTAGGATTTCCGCAGTCATAAATTGCTCTCATTCCTCTGTTCGACGTGTTTGGGAGTTGTATGAGCTAAAAAGCCTTTCAAAGAAACGTTTGGGTTGACCACGAATTCTTAACGAAACTGAATGCAAACATCTCAAAAGTTTGGTGGTTAGGAATAAAAAAACCCATCGGCAAACCCTTTCTCAAATACGTTTAAATTTTATAAATGAAACAAACAAACCCATTTTCATACAAACCATTTGAAATGAATTAGCCAAAGAAAATCTCCATTCCCGAATTCCTTGTTTCAGTCCTTTAATTTCTGAAAGTAATAAAGAAAAACGTTATTTGTGGACCTGTACTTACGAAAATTGGACAATAGAAGATTTCAAACAAGTTGTCTGGTCGGACGAGAGTATCTACATACAATTTAGAACTCCAGATTTTAGATGAGTATGGTACAAACCTTCTGAAGAGTTTCATGAAGACTGCATTGCAGCCACGGTTTAAAAGGCTTTGGTCGCATGTGTTTCTCCTGGGTTGGCTTGGGTCCTTTGGTTCCTTTAGAAGGTCGCATTACTGGAATTATGCACCATGACGTTTTGGCTAATTATGCCATTTCTACAGTCAAGTTTCAGGCAAAAAAGGTCAAAAAATGTTTTTTTTCAAGAAGATAACGCATCCGTGTATACCGCAAGAGTCGCACATTCGTTTCTCACTTCCTCAAATGTTGAGATACTTCCCTGACCAGCCTAAAGCTCTAATATTAATCCAATAGAAAATATATAATCATATATTAAGATCAAGATCTGTCAACGAGATTCTCAGTTATCAAATATTAGGCAATTGGAACAGTGGGTTAAAAAGGATACCTGTAGAATATTACCATAATTTGATCAAGTTAATGTCGCGTCGAGTTCAAGCTGTTCTTGTGGCTAATGAATATTGACCTGTATTTGATAAAAATAAAAAAATAAAGAATTATTAAGTTAGTTATTCGTGAAATGTTTTACAAAAGTGGCCAATACTTTTTATACCCCCTGTATTTTAATTTTGCATTTAATAGACATTTTTACATGTGATGCTTCTTATTCATAAATTCTGCATGTTTTTTCATAATATAAATTTCTTAATCAAATACTATTATACTTTATAATTAAATTTTATAATTACATACACATTGCCTAACCTTTTTTGATTACTTTCTTGAAATATACTCATATTATACATGTACAAACTGGATCAAAATAATGGAATATTTATGTGAAATGAAAAAAGAAATAAATCTTGTTAATGGATCTTTATGTGTCATTCAAATTTTATTGATTATTAGTATTTAAATGTACTTTTAATAGTAATTTAAATTTAACTAAATTATTTATTTAAAAATTATTTAATAATTATAATATCAATAGATTGTAAGTTCTTTTATTAATTATTAGTATTTAATTATATTTTTACCATAATTTAAACTTAACTAAATTTTTATATAAAAATATATAATAATTTTAGATTGTAAGTTATTTTTATTAATAATTAGTAGTATTTAATAAAGCTCTGAATAGGTCAGTTCAAATCAAGTCAATCAAGTTACCTAAACTGAAAAGATCAGGTCAGATCAAACAAAAATCCAACCTGATTTAAGTTTTCTTTTAACTTGATTTAATTTAATCTAACCAAATCATTCAAAAAGAATGTTTAAAAGAATTTTATCAGATCAGATCAGATCAGGTAAACAGGTTGATTTGACTTGATTAAATGCTCTAGTATTTAATTATATTTTATACTAAAGTTTAAGCTTAATTTAAAAATATATTATTATAATAAATAAGTAATTTTATTAATTATTAGACTTAATTATATTTTTTTTATAATTTAAACTTTATTATACAATTTATATTGTAAGTTAATTTATTAATTATTAGTATTTATTTATACTTTTTACTATAATTAAACTAAATTAAATTTTTTATTTAACCAAATTCAAAAATTTTAATAATATAATAGTAAATTATTATTATTAATTATTAGTATTTAATAATACTTTTACTTTAATTTTATTTTATTTATATTGTTATTTAAAAATTTAAATAATATAATAGATAATAAATTACTTCTATTGATTATCAATATTTAATTATATTTATTATAATTAAATTTTTATTTAAAAATAAAATTACTAAAAAGAATAAGTTATTTTTATTAATTTATTATTATTTTTATAAATTTAAGTATAATTTAAATATAATTAAATTTTTATTTAAAATAAAGCTTTAATTAACTAAAAAAAATATGTACTTTAAAATTTAAAAAGAACAGCTTATAAAATACTTATAATATTTAGTATCACATGATTATCGTACTGAAGAAAAAGAATATTTGATATAAAATACTTATTAAATTTGAAGATCCTTATTTTAATATTTATATTTATTATAATTATTATATTTTATCTTATCTATATAGTAAAGTTAAATTAGAATTTTGTATTAATAGTTTTGTAGTTTAAACTTAATTTGTGACAAAGTTTTTAAATTTTTTAGATAAGATCTAGACTTATAACTCTATAATTTAATAATAAAATTTTTATTTAAACTTTTAAACTTCTTTATGTCTTTATCAAATATTTTAATCATGATACTTAACTATACAAGTAAATCATAATAAAGAAATTGTAATATAAATCTCTCTTAAAATAGGTTATATTGACTTATTTGAGAGCAAAAATGTCAACTTTGCATTTGTATTTTACTTTGCTAATTTTGCATTAGGACAAACTATGATAGGTTTTATTCGAAAAAATCCTCTTTTGAAACATTATATCGCCTTTTGGAATTTTGAATTAATGAGTGTAAGAAATTAGGACTTTTATTTTCAATTTTACTAAAATGATATGCAGTATCATCTTTATAATAATCTGTACAATTACAAGATCGCTTTTTTTTCAGTGCCCTAATTTAACAACCATAACAAAGGTTGATATTTCTAAATAGATAACTTTTGTATTTCAGACCTAGAATGGATAAAAAATCTGAGATCTTTTAAAAAAGTATAAACAATATTTTTATAATGATCTATTAACCGGAATTGAATTATACTCTGAATAAATTATCTTTAAGTTTGTTGAAAAACATTTATTATATCAAATTTAGCTCAATCATTTATCAAGTATTCAGCCGTTGCGTTGACTCTACTCCAATGGTTGGTTGTTCTTGATGATAAAGGATTAAAAGATATATTATTTTTTGGACAATTTTACATAATCTTTTAATTTGAAACAGAAATGCTATATGTTATATTATATTGTAAATACCACTTTATCAAACTACCTTTATCAGATTATTTTAAACAATTATATATTGGAATATTGATTTACATCTCCAATTAAGTCTGTAATAACAAAAAATACATTCTTATTGTGGTATTGAGAATTATTTAGGAAATAAGGATCTCGCATAGTTTGGATATTCCATTACAGTAAATGTTATTTATTTATAGATTATCTATTATTACAAAGGTCGATTCGTGTTTGGAAGATAATCGAAAGAGTAAATCATATGTTCAATCGCAATAAAGCTTATTTATTATCATAAATGGTAACCAAATAGATATTTTGTGATAAATTCTGAATATAATTGTAAATGGAAATTAATGCCTGGAACAAATCAAACATTTCTTCGATTCTTATGAAGTATAAAGGAGTTGTCTATAAACAACCATTACAAGAATTCAATAGTAATTCAGAATTACAAATAGATTCAAAATAAATTTTATTTACCCTTCCCCACTTTCTTTTATATCTTCACATCTTTAAACGTAAACACATTCTAAATCGATATTCTAACAAATTTTATTAAAAAAAAAAAAAAAAATTGAAATTGACACGTCTGAAGTAGGCGAAATTAACTCTATAGTTTGGGATCAAGTTATAAAAAATTAACTATCGTGTCATTTAGTTGATAGAAGAAGTTAATTGGTTACGAGAAGCTTATACTCATAAATGTTCCGAGGTTGGATATCTTAGTGGAGTAGCAGATCGTATTAAATGGTTATATGACCAAAGCCGTGAACAAATTACATCGTTAAAAGTTCAAAATGAGCATTTAAAGGAAGAACTAGAAGAGGTAATTTTTTAAACACATAAAGTAAAAAAACTATTTGACATTTTGATTCAATAATTTATTTAGTGTGAGTATCTTCGTAAAAAGTTGATTGAGCAAATTAATGTTGAACCAAAGGCTACCAAAAAGGTTTGATCCAGTTTACCTTTTTTTTTTTTTTGCAAACATGCGAATGGATATTTAACGAATCCTCGTTTAAAATGTAAAACAAAAATTTTTCGAAGAAAGCATTTGGCAAGGTTATCGATAATATTTTTGAGTATTTAAATTAGTAATATAAACTTTATATTAGAGTTTCAGAACTTTTCCACATGCAAATTAAATAACTCAGTAGAACAATCACCATCAATATCCACCAGTTCAGTTTAGTTTGATTCATTTGTATAAAGAGAAATTATTAAAACTTGTGTTTAATTATAGCGACATAATAAGATCAACGGAGGTCTATCTTTTAAACCTCAAGAAAAATAACAACAATGGAAATGAATATAAAAATGAAAGCAATAAGAATGATAATACGGAATCATTAGTTCATAAAATTGAAAAATAAAAAAAATAATAACATCATCGCAAAATCACACAACTTTTTTAATGTATAATTGAAAAGTGTAAAATATCTTTCGATATTAATATCGAGTGAAGAAAAAATCATGAATCTAAATTTTTGATCATAAAATCCCCTAAATTAAAATAATATTGTTAGAAGTAATAAACATAAATAGAGAAATTATATAAAATTTCACACCTAAATCTTCGCTTAACATTACGACATCATCATCAAATTCTCCTTGATCAATTATAATTTTAGAACTTAATTCCTGACTAAATGTTTTATTTAATCTTGCAGAATGGTCGAATTTTCTGCTTGTATAGCAAGATGACGGATGATTTTGAATATTAAGCTCATGTTCTACGATAAATATATTGAAAATCTTAGCAGTGATTTTTTAAAATTAGCATAAATCAATAAACTTTATTACCTGGTACAGGTACCCTATCGACTTTAAATGGATATTTTTTCCTTAATGTATGAAATTTATTTACCAGATCATCAGCACTTGGTCGTTTATTTGGATCCGAATCCCAACAACTTTTCATTATTTCTACATATTCCGGAATGGTATTTTCAATTATTTTTGGTCTTAACCCTCGACAAATATCTATAGTTAGATTATAATCATGAGGGACATCGTGAAAAGCGGGAACTCCTGATGTGTATTCCCACATAATTATACCAAAAGAATATATGTCGGAAGCTTGGGTATAAGGTTTGCCACGCAAAACCTCTGGTGCCATATAAGGAAGTACTCCATAAATATCATCAGGATTTTTAAAGTGATCAGAAGATCTGCATAATCCCAAATCACTCACATAAACACAATTTTGATGTTGCAAAAGTAGGTTGCCACTATGAAAATCCCCATGAAAAAAATTACATCCATGCAAAGCGGAAAGTGAAGTGGCAATGTGAAATAGGTTCCCATATTTATCGTTCGGATTATATTTTTTTATCATAAGATTTGATTTTAAACTACCAAGTTTCATTTCTTTTAATACGAACATATAATTCAACGTTTTAGGATCTTGAGTTATTCCATAAATTACCATAAAAGATGAATTATGATTATTTACTGAACAAATGAATTGTAGATACTTTTTCCACTAGATATTTAATTTAATAATATATTTGAATATTATTACAAAAAATATTTAACTGAATTTATGAACTTGAATTGAAAACTTACCTCTTCCAAAAAATCTTTATGAATATCTGAAGAATTGTCTAAACTCTTGAGAGCTACATAAAGTCCGTTTTTTTCATCATCCTTAAGGGGAGAGATAACGTCCTTTTCTTTTAATTCCTTGTCAACTTCTTCAATATTTTCAATGAATCTTAACCATTTTTGTGTATGTCTAATATATTTCCAAATCGCTCCATCCAACCAAATAGCTTTAAAAATAGTGCTGAAACCACCTCTATCAAGATATTTTATATTTCTTAAACGATCATAAGGGATCCATTCTAATAATTCATGTTCTTTTCTTGCATTCAATTGAGTTTCCTGGATAAATTTATCGATATGTTCATTTCCACTCGTCCACTTGCTAAAATTTTGTTGTAATAGTTTTGAATTGCAGTTTCGACACCACCAATCATAAGTTTTTGGTTGTTCGCAATCAGGACATAAACCGTATTCTTCCTCAAGTATATATTGTTCGTAGTTCTTAGTTTTTTCCAAAGTGCTGGGGATCATATTACAAATTTTTTCTTAAAAAGAAAAAAAAAAAAAATAAGATGATTTTATTGGTATTTATTATATTCTGGATTTGGCAAGTGTTACTGCAGAATTTACAAATTGAGATGGATTGGACCCAGGTCGGGTACAACCGGAGGTGGGCCAGATATTTGGGTCAAGGTCGTTACCAATATTTTTTTTGTAATTTGTATTGATTTTTTAAAGTTTGAAATCTATTGATCCGTTAAATAAGTTTTAAATGGAATTATTATTTATTTGCTGCTTATGCGGAATGCGGGTTTATAAGAAATCGGCACTTACGAATGGCGCAAATAACTGCGGAAAAATAATATTTGTTGATTTAATATATATTTCTTAATTTTATTATAATTGTTATTTTTATTATATTCGTTATATTTATTTTTAAATAGAAAATGTTAGTATTTAGAAATTTTGTATATAAACCAGAAATCCGTTTTGTTCAAAGAATAAGATTGACGAGTCTTGGGAAAAGAGATCCGAAATCTTGAAGAATAAAATGCCACTTTATACTTTCAACCTTTATCGTGTCTCCATTTAAACTTGATTATAATAACTAATTACACAAAAGAATCGTATTAAGAAGAGTTGAATAAACCTTTCTTAGGACGTGCCAGAGTTAGGTTTAAAGTCGTTGTTGGTTAAATTTGGTTTTGGTTCAAAATCGGTTAACACAATTAAATCTAACTCAGGGCCGCCTTAAGAAAGTTTTATACAACAATTTACTTAAAACGATTCTTTTTGTAGTTGTTATTAGTCTGGAAACACGATAAAGGTTGAAAGTATAAAGTGGAATTTTATTATTTCAAGATTTCGGACGCCTTTTCCACTTGTCAATCTTATTATTTGATCAAGGCAGAATTTCGGGATTTATATACATAAATTCTAAATACTAACTTTTTCTATTAAAAAAAAAATTTAACGAAAATAAAAATAATTAATAAAACCAATATGACGAACAAAATAAGAATAACAAATATAATTCATCTAAAATTATGTATAATAAATCAAATATAAAAACGAAAATTATTTTAGCATACATACATACATAACTTATATAATAAATATAATTGATATTTTTTTCATTTTCGTTATTATTCCGCAGGTGCGTCATTCGTAAATGTCGATTTCTTAACAGCGGTCTTACCAATTTGCTAACCGACCGAATGCTAATTTGAGAAAGTAATTTATTGTGCAAATAAAAATATTAAAAATTTATTATAACTTATAATTATTCCTTTTCTTTCAAGAATAATGATATCAAATTTAACTCCGCATTTTTCTTAGTCTGGGTTGGATAACGAACAATGAATATAATTTCAAAAATAATTTTCGACCTGCTACATCCGTTCCAAATTGATTTTGTCTGATGATTACAAGATATTAAACTTTATTATATTATTGAAGAATTTAAAGATCCTATTTAAGTCGGAATGAGACCCGATTGATAGAAAAACCTCCGATGGGCATATCGTACAATTTGTTAGTTTAGCTCGACGTAGTACTGAAATAACTCTGATAATATAGTTAGTGGTACAAAGATACCGCTTTTTCCCAAGCAGCCGAGCGCATGTTTAATATATAAAGTATTAAAGATTATGATGTGATGAGTCTGGTGTGACGCTTTTATTTAATTTAGAAATTGGCGCTGAAGAACTATCTATAGAGATTATTTTTGGACAAATGAACATTACTGTCATCTAATGAGCGGGCAAGTGTATTGTACTTTAATAGAATACGATTGATGTAATTTAAATATAAGTGTTAAAAGAATTTTGAATTGTAAAAATAATTTCAACATTAAGTATTAATATTAATCGTACAATATGGTTTATAATATTGTTTATAATTGACACTATAAAAATATTTGATTTTCTTCGTCTCATCAATGAGACTATGAAAATTATTTTCTTTTTATAATAAGTAATCTGATTTAAATCGCGTTTTTTTTTTAATGCTGAGTTCTTTCATAGTCGTAAATCATCCAGATTATTATCATAATATTTTAAAAATTAATTTTAACTTTAATCTTTTTATCCGTTGAATGACTCATTATATTTTTTCTCAGCCAGCGCGAAAGCAAAATAATTTATAAATAATAAAACAATCTTACAAATGCATTTGAGGCTGAAAGAAATCGCCTAATAAAGTCATCTAAGAAATAAAAGTTGAAGTCATGAATCTGAAAAAAAAAAAACCTAAAAAAAATATATTAAAATTAAAATAATTAATATAATAATCAAAATCAAAATCAAAATCAAAATAAAAATAAAAATGTTACCTATATATAGTACCTGAACATCCAACTATCCATCGCTATAGCCAACGAAAAATAAAAAATCAAAAATTTCTACTCTTAAAAACAAATATATAATAATCAGAAATGAAAGGCGTGGTGGGCATCGAATTTGCGACCATCAAAAATGCTCAAAATTTTATGTTGAGCAAGGAAAGCACCTAATTTACAATAACCAAAGGAATTACAAGTTACCATGGAACGAACATTCACAGAGAACGTCAAGTGCATCATCAAGTTTGATCTAAGAGGATACATGTATTGAAGCTGTGTTGAATTTATGAACGAACTCTAGAAAGCAATA